AAACCTATGTTGAAACATCCTGATGTAGTGTAGATTCTAAATTGTTCTAATCATGACCCCTGGGGGTAGGGCGGGGCCACAATGGGGAATCAAAGTTTTACAATGTTGAATCAAAGCATTATTTTGTAGTGTAGATTTCAAATTGTTTAAATTATGATCAGTTGGGTAGGGTGGGGTCACAATATGTATTTTAAGGGGAAATCTCGTAAAGAACAGAATGGTCAAAGCTTCTCAGGTGAGCGATGTGGCCCATGGGCCTCTTGTTTAAATTCTTATCTTAACCATAACAATCTTACGGTTAAGTCAAGTGATAGCATGCTCCTCGTGATCATTATTTTAACAAGACATTCTATTGAGTACCAGCCGCGATGACCTTTGACCTTGAACTTATTCATTCGACATAATTTTCAAAAACTCTATTTCTTGACCGTAGCTCCTGAATGGTAAGTGCTAGGTGTTTACTATTTTACCATTTTTTTTCTTGTGCTGAGAGCTTCTCTTGAATACCACCAACATTTTATCTTTTCACATGGACCTCAGACCTACCTTCTTTTGAAAAAAAACTTTGGTCAGAACTTTTGAATGGTTGATTCTGTGACTTTTATATTTCACCAGTGTTCCGAAATTCCCTAGGGCATCATAAATATTGACTCCTTGACCTTGTCCAGTTTGATCTACTTTTGAAAATCTCCAACTTTTGTAATAATTATTGAACTGTTGTTGGTATTTTTTTTTTAAGACGGACTCATTATGAGGAACTTTTTTTGGGGTACCAAAAATTATTTTCTCTTGATCTTGGGGTTTGACCTGCAAACGACAACATCCATCATAAGCTGCAATACGAGAGCACCTTTGTATCAGAAACACATCTTGAATTTTTATAATTAGCTCCCCAAAAAACTTTTCCTATTTATTTGAATATAAGTTCCAAGTTGTTGTCTATATTATTTTTTGATATATGTACATTAGCATTATATAAATGACTTGTCTATACACATTTAATATTGATTATTCATTATTTAAGTATTAAGTCACTTTTTTAAAGAGATGTAGTCCATAATGTCAAAGGTATATGCAGACATATTGAGTAATGCACCAGTGCGCATAATGAAAATTTCTTTACACAAATCGTAGCAGATATGCGAGACAACATATTTTAAAAAATAATGAATCAGAGCTTATATTTTACTTTTTCGAACTCCCTGCCTTGTTTTGAAAATTTGATTGATTATTAAGAATACTTGAATTATCGCTTTTATTTTAGCTTTTGATTTTCGCTTATGTTTTTATCTTGCACGGCATTGAACATTTGTGACGTCAGAATAAAATGCATATTATACATTGTGACCTTTTTTTTTACCCCCGTTCTGTGTTATAGTGTATTGAAATAAAATAAACCAAAAAATACAGTATCGATATTAGTCTTCTATGACGTATCTTGTGCATTCAAGAGCAGAAAAAATTAAATTTTATTCTTTTTTCAAATGATTACATGTAGAATATCGGCTCACAGGCTTAAAATTGAAATTGGACGTTATCAAAAAATACCTAGAGAGGAACGAATTTGTTCACTTTGTCATCACAACGAGATTCAGGATGAAATTCATTTTCTCCTTGTGTGTCCTCATCTTAATGTACAAAGACTTGAACTCATAAATATTTGTAAAATTTAATGCAAAAATTTTCAGTCTCTATCTTATGATAATCAATTTTATTGGCTCATGACTAATGAAGACCCAGACATCCTTAGATAACTTGCTGGATTCCTTAGTAATTTACCTTAATTGAAGATATTGTGATAAGCATAAAAAAAATTATATGTATACCTCTTTCCCAGTTTCTTGCCTTTAACTATATATATATATATATGTATAAATTATTATATATATTTGTATGTAACTTAGAATACGATACATGTATGTATATTCAGTATATCTCTTATATACTTGTTTTGGTTTTTTCTTTAACAATTGCTCTTTATTTGTAATATCATCATCATGCTTGTTCTATCATTTGGATCCTCCTCCTTCTATTTGTAAATCTTTTTGCTCCTCCGGGGGCCCAAATTGGATTAATAAAATCTTGTATCTTGTATCTTGTAGCAATAAAAGAAACTGATGTTCAGAAAATGTTATTTTTTTTTAAATTCAAGCTTATATTCTAGTATCACTGTGAATAAAGTATCATTACGTGTATTATATTTATGGTATAATTAGATTTGTAGAAAGAAATATTCAGTACTTCTGACGTCAACTATCTAGCTTATTTTCTCCATGATATAAAAAAAAACACTAACATCCATTTAAGCGGTTTTTATATAGTATATTAATGAATAAATGGATAATAAATGCCCATCTATTCAAAATATTGCATGGATGGAAAAAGATAGAGGTATGTGTATACAGAAGCATAATCTTAGACGAACTGTACTGAAAAACATGAGCATTAAATATACCTAATATTTTTTTAAAATAAATATCTTTAGAAAGGAAAATAAATGGCGGACACCACAGTACAGCGTATTGTCCATGTGTCGGATTAAAGAGGTTCCACTGTAGTTGGTTTGACAATAAATCAATCATCATCCTAATTCTCCGTCCAGACATCTTTATTTATCAGTTTTTGTAAATAAAAACAGACTTTTTCTAAATTCAAATTTATTACAACACATATCAAGCACATCTTTTACTAAATACATTCAGTAGAAAAAAATACAACAATTTATTGCTTTAAAGAATTGTTCAATCCCACTTCTTTTACCGACAAAAATATATGTTAACAAGTTTGCCACTTGGCCATGGTGTTAAACATTATTTAAAAAAAGAACACTGCGATAAAGATTTCTTTTTTTAAAATCCTTTGATGGATGATCTTTCCTCTGTAAAAAAAAAATTAATTAATGTTTCATGGAAATGGTAGCATATTTTTTCTTTTTGAAAAATATCTTCATACCACTGGAATTTTTCTACGGAAATACAAAAAACTGGTAATTATGATTTAATGAGGTTTACCTAGTGACGTCTGATCATCATGGTTGTCTCCTTCACTGATGTCCCACTCTTTACTGTAGGATTCCAAGGGTAGTTCCACAGTGCCGGGGACCAATGACCGTTATAAGGAAGGTGTGGTGACAGGCGTTAAACCACCAACCTCCTCTACGGCGACTGTAAGCAGCACAGTTACAGCTACACTCGTCGTTATCTCTGTCTGGGGTGGAGAAGTACATCCCTGACAGATCAGCTGAAGAAACCCCGGTGTCTAACATAGCGTCTCCTGTAAAATTAAATAAAAGGAATCACAGAGATAATCCATTTATATTTCATCAATTTGATTTTCAATAACTATGCTGAGGTACTTCTAAGAAAGACGGCTTTAGGTGCTGGAAAGAGCGATAATTTTTAATTTGTTCAGTCCTAGAATCACCGGTTTCTATCATACTGGCACTTGCATAATTAGAGAAAATATAGAACAGAGATAATAATTACTAATTTAAAGCTGTACAACACATTCCTGTAAATATCTAGATACTGAAGTACGTCTGAGATACACAGTTTAACGTATTGTTTCCTGTAAAGAGAGACAATTTAGGAAGATTTGATCACGTGCCAAGCCGTTTTACATCCCAATAAAACTAAAAAAAAATGATAGTACCTTATTATTTATATTTACATTTGTGATTTATTCATACTTTATATCAGAGATCAAAACACAGCGCAATTCATATATCACCCTTCCTTAAAAGTATGATTTTTTTTTTGGGGGGGGGGGGGGTAAAGGCCACTGGAAATATTAGAAAACATGGAAAATTAAAAAAATAATATCGGTCCAAGACCGTGCCTTTTAAAATGTATTAAATGCAATACTTAGTAAATCGTTCAGAATTAATCGAGATAAGATATGGTGTATCTGTAAATGTTTTAAAATATTTGATTCTCATAAAATAAAGCATGGGCATGTTAAATGTGAAGCGCGCTGTGGTGTTTTGAATTTGGATTTTTAAAACTTTTTTTATTTGAATATGTAACCGATCAAATGCATTTTTTATCATCAAATTTTCTTAAACTTTTCGACATTTAAGATAAATGACGCTCTGTAACCTCCTATTCCGTAGTAGTAAAAAATGTGATGTATTGAAAATCATACTACATTTTCATTTGATAGAGAAACGGTATAGTAAATGTGAAATACGTTGCGGTGTTTAGAATTTGGCTTTTTTAAATTTGAATTTGTTAGCGATCATTTTGTGAAGATGTCGATATTATAAATCAATTACACTCTGTAAACTTCTTTTTCCGTAGTAGTTTAAATGTGGATTATTATAAAAAAAAATGAGGAAACCCAGGCTGTAAAGGTTTACAGGCGAAACCAAATTTCAGAATATGTTACCTTGGTGCTAAAAGTGTAATATAAACTTTAAAGCCAGGTGAATTTCATGAGGAAAAACAAAATGACAAATCTGCAATATCGCATAGGCTGACTTTTATCATTTTGCTTTTCCTAATTAAATTCACCTGGCTTGGTATATTTTTCTAAAGTTTTCTTTACACTTTTAGCATCGAAGTAACATAATCCTTTACTGAGTGTGATTGGACTGTATTTGTTGTTTTTTTTTATTGAAATGTTACGAATATTTTCCGAGTCCTTTTCATTTTCCAGTTCTTAAAAGAAAGAAATCAAAGAATTATCCACTTATCTAAACTTGTGACATGATATTGAGTCCTCTCTAAAGAAAAAAAAAGTTTGTATCATCTGTCCTTAAAATATATATTTTTAGCGTCTTGACAATAACAAATTAAATGTCTGCTGAATTATACCTGAAAATGATATTCTGAAATATTAAACATGTTTATCTAGTGTGGAATAAAAGGTGCATACAGAATATCAGAAAAAACCACATCTTTCTCTTTTTTCAAAAACTGAATAATCTTTCAATACAGAAAAGCATAATTAGGATTTACGTATTTTGAACCCAATTTTGAGAACTTATCTTGAATACGTACCTAAGGTCCCCGTAGCAGGTCCTGCAAGAAAGAGTTGATATTTTCCTGTTTCATCGGAAACAGAGAATCCGTCGTACATTTCATAAAGCGTTGTACCATTCTGTAGAGTTATGGTCACATACAGGAATGAGGTACCTTCTTTTGTTAATTGATGGATTACGTCATTTCCTGTATTAAGATATTTAAATTCAGCTGAAAAGTCCATTGCAATACAATTATTTCTATTAAAAATATGAATCTACCGTAAAGAAAAATCAAAATATTTTTCTTAGCTGCAAACAATAATGCTGAATATGAGCTCATTAAAATATGCCGCTAAATAATTTACTTCTCTACTTTTCTTTCTACTTGTAACTATTTGAGATACATGTGATTTTCGTGTGGAACCCATCCATGTATAACCTAAGCTGAAATTCAGATCTTTTTTACGCTTTAATTTTCTACCTGCCAAAAGATTTTTTTCCTGCAAATTTTGAAGGAATAACAAGTTCATATCTGGAAGCAATTTACACTTGCCAACCCAGACATTCCGTTCCGGTGAACCAAAACCATTCTTATATTCCTCCAAGTTCCTGTCAAAGCTCACAGATCCGTCTACGCGTTTCTGAATCACCTTTCAAAATTTACATGCGTAAAAATTCAATGTATTGCTTCGAACCATCATATAATCATATATTATAATATGAACTCAAAATATTCACATTAATTTTTATTTTTCAATCCTTAAAAGAATGTGAGTTATATCATGTACTTTTAATTCTAAAATAGATTACATACCGTCCATCCCCCGCCCATTGTCGACATGTCACAGAAAACATTGACAGGAATGGTTAAGGTACCGTAGGGGTATATATCATACACCCCTGTACTGGTTTGGCCATCTTCACAAAGATCATTACAATCTTTAGGCATGACAGAAAAAATGCAATCTAAAAAAAATGCTGGAATCATAATATGTATACGTACAAGAAGTGAGAGGATATATAATGCCTGCATGATATATAAACGTTAACTGTTGAAGCTTAAATGTTACTACATGTACAATGCAAATTATATCAAACTGTTTCCCAAAATTAGAATTAGATTAAATTAAAATTAAATTCAATTATTTTGATACTCTGTTGATTGAAAGAAATTTTAAAGGGGGGGGGGGGGGGTGCATTTGTAGATCAGATGATAAGCCATTTGGACAGTAAAATAGATGGTGAAAAATCTAGTAAAATCATGATATCTACTTTTTTGTATGATATAATGTATAATGTATGTGAAATTCAACATTTCGTAAATTATAAGGTCGATACAATGACCAAGTTTTTCAACAAACTTAATCGCATTAAATTCAGACTCGCGTCTGTAACAGATTGTAAGGCCTTTATTTTCACAATGAATTGTCCTAGAACTTGTCGTTTTCCAGATCAGGACAGTCGTCACAAGGTGAATCTGACCGATCGACAGAGGATGTTTACTCCTCCAAGGCACAGGATTCACATCTCAGCTTTCGGGACAGCTGTTTTCAAGATAGCAATTTCGAGGAACTAGTTTAAAGTGAGCTTTTTCGATTATGTAGTAAATTACAAGCTATAATTTTCTATTGGCTTAGAATGATCATTGTCACAAAGCTTAAATGAATATTATTATTAAATACTCACGGTATGAGAATTTAATCTTATGTTTTCCATCACATACTAAGAGATAATAAGAATAGAAAAAAAGAGAATAGAGGAAATCACAAATTATAATTCAATCAATCTCAAATTAATCACTAATTCAAATTTTTTTCAAAATTACGAAAAAAATCAGCAAAGAGATAAAAATATTAAAAGAAGAGTCAGAGAAAGAAATCAAGTCTTCTTTAGAGGGACTTTAACAAAAATCAAAGAAGCAAACAGGAAAAAAATAACAAATATACATACAATCATAAGAGTAGTATCTCCAACCGGCCTCATCAGACATTTCAGACGTTAATTTTTCTTGTGGATACGACATTTCTTCATTTGAAAGTTAAACCCAAAGAAGACGCACTCCCTTAGACACATCGCGGCACACTTGGCCAATGAACGAAAATTATGTTCTCCTAAAAGTTCGTAATTTGATTTCTTATCATTAAATTCCTGTTTCGCGGTAAAATTCTGAGAAATAATGGAAGCTTCGGATAAAGCTAAGAAACCCACAATCAAGTAGATGAAACACTTGCTGCTCATTTTTTTTCTAGGAAAGAGTTACTGCTAAGTTCCTGTGAATTTTTGCTAAATGGTATTTCAACAGCCAATAATATATATCCAACATTAATCAATGTCTGAAAAGTGATTGGCTTAGCGTTATGTACAATGTACTCTCTCTTTTTTTACAACTGTATAGGTATCGATTTCTTTGAAGTTTACATGAATTGTCATGAATATGTTTTAATGACATTTGGTCAAAATTAGGTTAAACCCTGAAGTTGTACGTAATGTGCAGGTAACCTTCAACCTTTAGTAAGGAATGAATACATCTTCACTTTGCAATTTCAATCTAAACTAGTGCTAATTGTAACGGGGACCGTTACAGATGTTCCCCTAACGCTCCCCAACTCCCTTTTGGTGCCATATTCCCTGTAAGCTCTATTAAATAAGACATACTTTATGATATTTAGACTTAAACAACGTTTTCCCAGAAGAATACAAAATATATTGAAATTTTAGCATTGCACGCGTGCTCATATGAATGCATGTACGTAATGATCATATCATCTTGTCTACACTATTTATGTATTTTAATATACAAAATATCAAAGCATTTAATCAAGAAGTATTCAAAAATACACTCAGTCAAACGTATTTTTGATTTTACTCATTTCACGTGCAAGCATGTGCATGATGACCATACCTTCTAGAGGGAGTTCATTATGTCTATCTATATTCTAAATCCCATCCTCTTTGGTTGGAAACCAAGGGAGTTATAACCATTTAAAGTTTAAGCCAATGAGATTATAACGCACGTGCACGCGTGTGATTTCATTAAAATATTATATATCGTATTGTAGGATATCTTAATGCATGACTATATTTTAAATTTCAAAGCATTTCGTCAAAAAACAAAAAAGATATCGAGAATTTTGTTTCAGCCAATCAGAGCAAAGCGCACGCGCACGCACGTGCATGCATATGCATGGTGACCATACCTTCTTGTAGGAGTGTATTATGTCTGTTTATGTTCTAAATCCCATGCTGTTTGGTTAAAAAACAAGGGAGTTATAGCCATTTAAAGTTTTAACCAATCAGATTGCAGCGCACGTGCATGTGCGTAATTTCATGACAATTGTTACAAATCATATTGTAGGACATCCTAAAATATGCCTATGTTTTAAATTTCATAGCATTTTGTCAAAAAAGAGAAAAGATATTGAGGTTTTTGTTCCAGCCAATCAAAGCGAAGCGCACGTGCATGCGCGTGAGTTCTTGCTAATTTGACAGTGTCACATTATCTACACTATTAATATGTCTTTATATAATGAGTTTCAAATCATTTCATTAAAAAATGTAAAAGTTATAGCTGTATTAAATATATCAGTCATTTCACCCATATCACGCGCACGCACGTGCATGCGTATGCGCGCAAAATGACCTTCGTTCTGCACACCTACACTACACACCTATTAACCCTAAAAAGGTTTTAGGTCAGTTGGGTGAACAGTTTCTGAGAACACTCGCGGACAAAAAAGTAGTGGAGAACAAATAAGAAAAAAAGAATAATAACTAGAGCCGAGCTCGTTGCAAAGCAACGAGTAGGTCTTCCGTTGGAGCTGTGGACAGGAAGTACAGACCTTGGGTCAAGGTCACTGCACTTTCTTATGTCAACAACCTGTCTTCCCAGCATGAGCCTCCAGTAAATTTTAATTACAAGGTTATACTTAAACATTTTTTTCTTTGTCAGTGACCTTGATTTGCCAGAAAGACATTTGATCAGGGTCATGACAAAATCTCCAATCATAAATAATCTATTTTCAAGTTAGATCCTCCACTGATTTTCATTTACTAGTTCGAAGTAACGAAGTAGTAACGAAAATATTTCTTCTGTCAGTGACCTTGATCTTAACAGAATAACCTTGGCTCTGTGTCAAGACAAACACCTTTTAGTGATTAGAAGTTCATAACCCCGACAGGAATTTTACAACTTTTCTGTCATTGGCCGATGAAGATGTTTGAAATTTGCATTATCTCGTTCCATTTTGTCACAGGTCAGAAAAACAACATTGAGGTATTTTAAAACATCACAGGATATTACTATTCAAACAAACATGGTGTTTCTATTTATGAAAGATAGACGGGGTTGAAAGTCCCTTCCATAATACGTATAATAGCTTTACTTTCAATGAGATTAAATCAAAAGTCCACAAATAAAATATTTTTCCTCATTTATTTCAAAGTTTGGGTAAAGGGTAAAGGGGGTGAGGAGCATGGGGATGTCGTGTTGTATACGTAATACATTTGAGGTTATTATTCTGTTAGACAGGAAGACCCGAGGAGTTGTGATTTGCTGATCATGATCTAAAACACGTTGACAAACCGAAACCACATGGTTATATACACGTTATTCAATCAATTAATTCATAATTATTTTCCTTGAAGGAGGAATGCATGGATAAAGGATTAAAGAAAATTCCCGATGTACAATAGCATCCGTGCATGGACTTCATTTTAGTACTACACATTGGCGTCGAAGCAAATTGCAAATTGAAAGTGGGGGGGGGGGGCTAAGTGAAAATAGAAATTATACCTTCAAAAAAAAAAACCTGGCAACAAAAAAAAAAAAAAAAAAGGAAAGGTTCTTTTTCCCAAACACGAAAATTCTATTTCGTGGGGGGGGGGGGGGGGGGGGGGGGGGGGGGGGAGGGGAGGGGAGGGGTGTGTTAGGTTCGAACTTCAGTACCAAAATTTTTTTCCGAAACCACCACTTTCCTCATTTTTAACCTATAATGCAACTTCTCTAAGGAAAGTGGGGGGCTAAACCTACGCAGCAATGTTCAATGTCTATACAAAATATATATTGGGAAAAAAAGTGGGGGGCTAAGCCCCCCTAGCCCCCCCCCCCCCCCCCCCCTGGTTCCGACGCCTATGCTACATAATGATATTGTACTTAACGTTGAATAAAATTACCAAATAAATCAAATTTAAATAGGAAAGGGAGATTATGTTTAATAGAATAAAAATTAGACAAGACTCGCTGGTAAAAACTTGAAAGTACTTGAATAAAATGCCTCTCACTCGCTCTCTCGTACGCGTATTTTTTAAAGCAAGGAAAGTTATTTGCGCTAGATATAAGTTCATCATTTTAAAGAAAATACTGAGTTATATACGGTAAACGATACAAATGGTTTGACTTTGGTGCAGGTTATGATTTTAACAGTTTAATTTAGGTTGTAAAAGCGTGTAATTACATGATAAGTCTGTAATATTCAGATAAGATTGTTACCCCGGTATATAAGTTCTTAAATTTTCGAATCTGGACATATGCGGGTTTATTACTACTTGAATGTACATTGTATAACCTGCTACTGATTTTTAACCACGGAACAAAATTACAATGTTAGCACACTACACTAATCATTTATACGGGTTTTGAATAAATTATTGAATAAATTATAAAACAAATTAAGTTGATTGCTTTAAAATCATTATTTCTTGAACTTTACTATAAAACCTGTAATATAAATTAATAAACAGTGTGCAGCACAAAAGTCACTTATGAAGTTTACACGTGCCGGTTACTTATCAATGTTTAGTCCATTTCATTGAGTATAATTCTATCCTTACGATTCGGAAGATTCTCTTTAAAAGTTTAAAATTGGTATAACCATGGTTCATATCTGTGATGAAAAAAAATGTGTTTCGGAAAACTTGTGTTGAAAACGGATTTATTTGTGTATGAAAAGA